ACCATTAGCTCTCCTGGTAGGCTAATGCCTTGTTTACTGTTACCCTGTGTATGTTTAGGGCTACATTCACTAACAGATAAAATAAAAATAAAGGATAATAAAGGGTTGGGAATGACAGATCTGTGTAATTTGCATAGGGCATTGTGTGAAGAGGTGGATTAAAGAAAAAGTTATTGGAATTCTTGTAGCCTAGGGTATACATGTAACTGGAGAGTAGATCAGCTGAGGTCAGGGCAGGAGATGATTAATACAATAAAAGTTTAAAACAGTGATTATAGACTTGAGCTTCAATAAAGAACAAGGTAGGTTCAGGAAAGGAAGTGTGTGTGTGTGTGTGTGGGGGCTTGGGTGGTTGGGGTGTTGCTGATTTCTTATGCTCCTCCCATGGGGTGGATGGGGGGTGTCAACAAAGTCCAGCACCAGCTGTCAAATTTATAATCCAGCCCAGCAGCATTAGCATCTCTTAGAGTGCACCAGTACAAACCCAGCCATCCAGCTTTTAGGTTGGTGCCGTGGGGATTGCCTTTTTAGGAGACACCTGATCACAGCTTACCTCACCGCCACCCAACACAAAGAAGCTGTGGCTGATAATGTGATGTTTACGTGTGTGCGCCCACCCCTGGTGACAGTGGGAAGGTGGTAGAAGAGTTCTTATGCTGTAGAGACAGAGGTCTGTGGTTGTTTCACATCTAGTGGAAATTTTAACCAGAACTGTGAGGGCTCGGAAGTTCTTCAGGATGTTTTGAGGCAAGACATATCAAGTTTTCACTGTTCTATGACTGTGAATCTGCCAAGGTGTTGAAGACCAACAGCTGAAAAGAGTTCAGATTTTGGCTGTTGTTTGTGCCAGGAACTGTCTAAATCCCAGGAGAAGCCTTTTTTCCCCTCATTAGCTGGGTGAGCCAATGCGAGTAGAACCCAGTATCATGGAGAAATTCAAGGCGGCCATGGTTCTGGGAGCTGTCGGTGATGCCTTGGGCTACAGAAAGGGTCGTTGGGAAGGCTGCATCTCAGGCAAGAAGATCCAGGAAGAACTGGCTTCTCTTGGGGGACTGGGTGCCCTAAAACTGGACCCTGATAACTGGCCCCTGAGTGATGTAACACTGATGCACATGACCACAGCAGAAGCTCTTATAACAGGTACGTTCAGGACTGAAGTCATGAAAAAAGTCAGAGGATTTAAGATTGTCTAAGAGGCAGATTACAGAGTGGAAATCACAGCAAGATTTAAAAATAACTTGCAGCTTTGAATTTAATAATAATTATAAAAGCAAATCAAAATGTCACATTCTGACCTTTACTCTAATTCTAACATCTTTATCTGTTCAATAGTTTATAGAGATAACCTAATATGTCCCTAAAATATGGACACAACACAAGACTTGTCCAGACAGGCTTTTAATCTTTCTACATTTAGAAGGACCAGAATAACTTCTTCTATACAGGCAATGGAAGCTGATAATCACCTACTGACAGATCAAGCCTGAATGACAAAACCCACTGACATACAATACCATAATCCATCATTGTAACAAACCATCAAGGACACAATCTTAGCAGAAACTTTACTATGAATGCCCTCACCCAGTCGCCATCTCAAGCTCCCACAGAGTCACCAGGAGTTATCAGGACAGAAGAGTCCAAAATAGACTCCTCTGGAAAATCCTCACCCCTCCTTTACTGAACAATAGCAGGTCAATCTCCTCCATAATCTACCAATGTCATGATGGCCGCAGATGTGGCTCAAAGCCAATGACAGTGGTCCTGAGAAACGGTGATGACATCTTTTGAGATTAAGAGGCCTATTTAGCCACAATCCAACATGCCTGCACACACACACACACACACACACTATCAAGACAGAAACACATGTAGTGTAGTGAATGTTGTTGACGCTGGCAAGGCTCTGTCAATCTTCTTACCAGCACAAGAACTATTATTTTCTCATCTCCCTACACACATTTATTAAAGACTTTGACAGCGCACAGACTGACATCTTCAGGTCCCCTGTTTTCTGTGTAACACTGTTTAAACCACAGTCCAGTCAAGAGGCTGAAGGTACTTGTCTTTCATCAAAGACCAGTAAATTAGCAGTGACACTTTGTCAACACAGGCTCTCTCTCTCTCTTTCACACACATACAACATGTACATAAACAGATTCCAGCAGAATGACTGACACAACCCAGTAGACCTCATTGTGTGTAGATGTGACCCCACTCGCTCTACAGGCACGCTGGTCCTAATCTTATTGTGTGGCAGGCTGAGGCTAAACTTAGCCCACTCATCTCATCTTGCATGCCAAACATAAAAGACTGTGTCATTGTGTATATGTGTCCAGATTACTGGTGTCTGGAGGACCTGTACCGGGAGCTGGTGCGTCTCTATGTTGAAGCCATGGTGTCACTCCAGGGCAGAGCCCCTGATCCTGCCACAGTGGAGGGATGTGTTCACCTCAAGCCTCACAACTTCCTGCTCGCCTGGCATACACCCTTCAATGAAAAAGGTCACTTAAGATTTTATATATTGTTTTTGAAAATGTTGTGAGTCCAATATAATACCATCTATGAAAATGCGTGTCTGGATGCGTGCATGTGTGCTTCTGTCCAGGGTCTGGGTTCGGGGCGGCTGCCAAGGCCATGTGTGTGGGTATGAGATACTGGCAACCTGACAGAATTGACAACCTGGTGGAGGTCAGCATTGAGATCGGCAGAATGACCCATAACCACCCCATAGGTGAAAATGTTGGCTGTTTCAAACTTATCCTAACAAATTTGGCAACTGCAAGCTGATTATCATGCTGCTGATGAACTGTTAAGCATCTCTCATAACATTTCTAAAAACTTAATTCACTGATGAGTAGACAGAACTGCCGTAGTGACTTGTGGTGTCACTCTTGGCCTCAGGCTTTCTTGGCTCCCTGACAACAGCGCTGTTTGCATCCTATGCAGTCCAGGGGAGACCTGTCGTTACTTGGGGCCGTGAACTCATGAAGGTCATCCCTCTGGCTGAAGAGTACTGCAGGAAAACCATACGCCACATGGCAGGTTAGACTGTGTAATAATAATGATAATAATAACACAAAGATGATATGTGTTTATTCATGTATACAGTAAAGTACTTTTCAATTTGGACTGTATGCACATGGACTGAGAGAGCATCAGTATTACCTGATGCCAGTAATGGGTATCACTGTATATTTCTATGCAGAATATCAGGAAAACTGGTTCTATTTTGAGGCCAAGTGGCAGTTTTACCTTGAAGAAAGAGAGATAGATGAAGAAGGGAAGAACAAGCCTTCATTCCCTGATCGCTATGATGCTGATGAGATGGACAAGGTAAGCCATACCTCTCTGATTCAAAATGTATAACAGAAAGTTTGCCTTCAGATTTTCAAGACAGCAGAATAGAGCCCCTATTAGGAACCAAACTCTGCAGTTATTTTGTTTCCTGATTTGTACAGGTGTACAAGCGGTGGAGCTCAGAGGGCCGTGCTGGCTGGAGAGGCCATGATGCCCCCATGATAGCCTACGATGCCCTTCTGGCTGCAGGGAGTGACTGGGCTGAAGTGTGTAAACGAGCCATGTTCCACGGAGGTGCGAATTACATTTATTCTAGTCCTGTAGAACATATTAAAACACAATTTTAACACATGTTGGGCTCACTGTGGACTTCTGTTTAGGTGAGAGTGAGGCCACAGGCCTGATTGCAGGCTGTCTCTATGGCCTCATGCATGGCCTGAACCCGGTTCCACAAGGACTGTACCAGGATTTGGACAAACGAACGCGCCTGGAAGAGCTTGGAGAGGCGCTTTACAAGGCATCATCTGCAGAAAAATGCATAGACAAGTAATCTGAGCTTCTCTGGCCTGGATGCTACTAGTTATTAGTGGAACTGCACATCACTCTAAAACTGTTTCCCTTTGTCCCACACTATCCCCTAGTTCTCCTTGGTAGTACCACAATACTCTTAAGAGGCATCCTGTCCTCTCCTCACCTCTTTTGCCCTCCTCTCCTTGATTTTGCTGTCCACTATCCACAGATCTGTCATTTAGTTTCCATTTCAGTTAGATGATGATTTCTTTGGTCCTACATCTGGAATCAGTGTATTGTGGTCTTTTGATGGGAGGGGATATAACCCAGTGTGATTTTAAGGCCACCTGAATGATCCAGTGACTTAATTAACTTAAATGATAGAACTGTGGCAAAAAGAAAACTCTTCTGCCTTTAAAACATTCAGTAAACAAAGAACACATAGTTCACAGGGTGACAGCCAACAGATAATGTCCTTCTCTGACTTTTTCCTTCACTAAAAATAACCTGCAGTGTCATTAAATAATTCATCAAAGTCAGTATCTACTTTTGCTAACATTGTCTAATGTTACTGATGTTAAGGTATGAACAGTAGACTCAGCATAAGGTGCCTGATGAGTTCAGTGGTTTTCAATCTGGCTTCAACCTTTCTGTCTTTATCTTATCAGTTCATGTGAGATGTGGCTGAAATAAAGAAATCATTTAAACTTTTATGCACAACAATAGAGTTGTAGAACAATACTGAGTTTGTAGACCTATTTGATTATTATTTGCACTGTGATGCTCTTATCAGGTACAGTATAGTGTACTGTATTGTGAAAGCACCAAGACATGGTTAATATTAACAATTAAAATGAACTCAGATATATTTATACCAGACATAAGGTTCCTGTCTCATTTATATTTATCATAGCTTCTTAATTTTCTATCAGAACTTCCACTTCTCTGAACAACTCACCTTGTTTACACTGCTGGAACACTTCACATCTAGTCTGAACATTTTATCTCCTCTACTTTGCTTCAGGGGTGGATGACTACTGGTTTACCCAGTTCAAGTATTGTTTACTAACTGAAATATCACTAGAGTAAGATGAATAAGAGTTAAAACAGTGCTTTTGAGGATTATTCTGAATAACAGTGACTAGTTTTATATGGTCACCATGAAAGGTCAAATTTACTATGCTCCAAAACTAATCTCTGCCTAGTTCGGTGCTGATTATTTCTCAGAAATTGACTTCCATTGGTTAAAATAAATTTAAATCCAATTTTAATACAATTATTCCCCATTTATGCTGTGACAGGTGTGCTTGAGCAAGAGTTGCCTCCAAATTCTTCATTATAATGATTTTATCAGTTAAAAAAAACTAACATTTAGCTGCAAGATTAAGTTTTGCATGTCCTCTATTCTCTGTAGACCAGATTCTTGGAAAACCAGTATCAGCCCAGATGCCAGTATGTTGAGGAAGTTGGTTAGAGATCGCAACTGCCGTCCAGTGCTCCGAGGGATTCTGGAGAGTATCCTGCATTACCTAACGCAGGATCTGCCCAAGTCGTCCACCAGAAACAGAAACCTGGAGGAGCTGGGGTCTGGTACTGTAGCTGGAAGAAACACAAGAAACAAAGATTGTCTTGATCAGAGCCCTGAGACTCTAGTGAACCAAACTCAGCTTCCTCAGACAAATTGCAGCATGGTTCATCTCCCTGAAGAGCATAAATTGACCCAGGGAAAGACTACTGAGACCAGCTGCAAGATCCCTGAAAAATGCTGGTCAGATGCACAAAAACACAGACTGCCAAGCAGGTATGGAGGAGATCAAAGAGCAGGAAACCTAATACCCCGGCGCCTTACTACATTCCAGCTCCTCCAATCCAAATTCACAAGGTCCTCACCCAAACCCTTCCTCAGCCATCAAAGGGAGGTAGGAACTCTGTCCTCCAGCAGGGGAGTGGCAGGTAGTATGAACCACCACCAAGACAGTGAGCAGGACAGGCCTAAGAGAGACAGAGTTACAAAAGAACAAGGATTGAAAAGAGGTGGCAGTGTGAAGGATATGGTGACCAAATTTGCCATAGCTGAGCAAAAAGAATGGGGACTGAATATGCTGAAGAAACAGCCAATCAAACCCAAACTCACTGGAAAGGGGATCCTCTTGTCTTGCTTGATGGAGAGGTTTGAGACCATGGCCACCGTGTGTAAAGGAAATGACTTGAAATATTCACATGGAAGGCCTTCTGGAGAAGTCAAGGTGACAAGTAATATAAAAGAGATAGTAGCTTGTTATGAAAGAGGGCAAGACAGCTGTAGATCCAAATCCCCCCAATGCAGTGACTATTCAAAGAAGGCTGCTGCAGAAGTACGCCATCCCAAGTGTTTACAGGTAGACCAAACTGCCCATAAACAAAAGCAACACAACATAATGAGAAGTAAATCTGTTGGACAGCATTTGAAAAAAAATCTAATAGCAAATGGGCAAGAACATAGACCAGAACAGGTAGTAATAAAAGTAAACCCAAACTGTGGAGAAAGACATAATTTGAAAGCAAAGGAAGTGGGACAAATGGGAGAACAGTTTTCAGATCAAAAGGCTGATGGTCATTGTTCACTGAAACATATGAAGAGTCAAAGTTATGATAACAAGGTTAAGACTTCAGGGAAATCTGGTGAAATTCAGAGTGCAGCTGATGAAACTCGCTGTAGCACCAGTAAGTTAAAAAATGAAAGTCCAGAGATGCTTTGTTTCACTTCTGTCACAGAGTGGTCTCTGCCAGAACCTTACTGGGTTTTTCCACAGGTGGAGGCCCCATTGCGCTTGCATGTGGCAACCATTATGGCCTGCTCTCCTGTGTGGTCCATATCTGTAGATTCTTCTCCTAAACAATATCTACAGGAAACCAAACCTCAGATATCAGAAAAGGTACTAAATATGAAGAAAGACATTTCTTGTGGAACTCCACAATACTTTGACAGTCAGTCAGCCACAGCTAAGCCCTCCAGTGTCCCAACCAAAAGCATTGTAAAACCCAAACCTGAGGGACTTTTTAAGGACAGAAGCCATGACCCCGTGGACAACACAGCTGTAGCTGACTTGCCATGGTCCATATGTGTAGATTCCTCTCCTAAACAATATCTACAGGAAACCAAACCTGAGTATTCGGAAAAGATACCAAATGTGATGACAGACAATTCTCATGGAACTCCACAATACTCTCACAGTCAGTCAGCCACAGCTAAACCCTCCACTATACCAGCCGAAGGCACTGTAAAACTCACCACTGAGGGACTTTCTAAGGACAGAGGCCACGACCCTGTGGACAACACAGCTGTAGATCCAAATCCCTCTAGTGCAGTGCCTATTCAGGGAAGGTTGCCCAGATATATGATCCCACATGTTTCTAAGCCTGACACTTCAGAAAAGATACTAAATATGACGAAAGACATTTCTTGTGGAACTCCACAATACTCTCACAATGAGACAGCCACCACTGAGCCCTCTACTGTAAAACCCAAAGCTGAGGGACTTTCTAAGGACAAAGGCCATGACACCATTTACAACACAGCTGTAGCTGACTCACCATGGTCCTTATGTGTAGATTCCACTCCTAAACAATATCTACAGGGAACCATGCCTGACACATCAGAAAAGATATTAAATATGAAGAAAGACATTTCTTGTGGAACTCCACAATACTCTCACAGTGAGACAGCCACAGCTGAGCCCTCCACTATACCAGCTGAAAGCGCTGTAAAACCTAAAACTGAGGGACTTTCTAAGGACAGAGGCCATGACACCATTTACAACACAGCTGTAGCTGACTCACCATGGTCCTTATGTGTAGATTCCACTCCTAAACAATATCTTCAGAGAACCACACCTGACACCTCAGAAAAGATACTAAATATGAAAAAAGACATTTCTTGTGGAACTCCACAATACTTTGACAGTCAGTCAGTCACAGCCGAGCCCTCCACTATACCAGCCGAAGGCACTGTAAAGCCTAAATCTGAGGGACTTTCTAAGGACAGAGGCCATGACCCTGTGGACAACACAGCTGTAGATCCAAATCCCTCTAGTGCATTGCTTATTCAAGGAAGGTTGCCCAGGTACATGATCCCACACGTTTCCAAACCTGACACTTCAGATAAGATACTAAATATGACGAAAGACATTTCTTGTGGAACTCCACAATACCCTCAGAGTGACACAACCACAGCCGAGCCCTCCACTATACCAGCCGAAGGTGCTGTAAAGACCCAGACTGAGGGACTTTCTAAGGACAGAGGCCATGACACCATTTACAACACAGCTGTAGCTGACTCACCATGGTCCTTATGTGTAGATTCCACTCCTAAACAATATCTACAGGGAACCACACCTGACACCTCAGAAAAGATACTAAATATGAGGAAAGACAATTCTTGCAGACCCACACAATACTCTCACAGTCAGTCAGCCACAGCCAATCCCTCCACTATACCAGCCGAAAGCATTGTCAAACCTAAAACTGAGGGACTTTCTAAGGACAGAGGCCATGACCCTGTGGACAACACAGCTGTAGATCCAAATCCCTCTAGTGCATTGCTTATTCAAGGAAGGTTGCCCAGATATATGATCCCACGTGTTTCCAAACCTGACACTTCAGATAAGATACTAAATATGACGAAAGACATTTCTTGTGGAACTCCACAATACTCTCACAATGAGAGAGCCACTGCTGAGCCCTTCACTATACCAGCCGAAGGCACTGTTAAACCTAAAGCTGAGGGACTTTCTAAGGACAGAGGCCAAGACACCATTTACAACACAGCTGTCGCTGACCCACCTTGGTCCATATGTGTAGATTCCTCTCCTAAGCAATATCTACAGGAAAAACAACTTGAGAATTCAGAAAAGATACTAAATGTGAAGAAGGATATTTCTTGTGGAACTCCACAATACTTTGACAGTCAGTCAAAAACAGCTGAGCCTATCACTATACTAGGTGAAGGCGCTGTAAAACCCCAAACTGAGGGACTTTCTAAGGGCAGAGGCCATGACCCAGTGGACAACATAGCTGTAGATCCAAATCCCCTCAGTGCAGTAACTATTCAAGGAAGGTTGTCCAAGCACGTTATCCCACGTGTTTACAGATTTGATTATCAACAATCTGCTGATCACATGAATGCTGCCTCTCAATCAGCACCACACTCAGAAACTATAACTCCTTTCGTCGCAGTTCCATCACTGCAGTCTGAGACTCCCAAGACTTCTCTTGACATTGTTTCAATGACAATAGAAAATTTTCAAGATAATGACCTTAAAGACAATGACCAAGACAATGATTTTAATCAAAATTTCAGTTGCTCCGAACGTACCTCCATACCTTCTAATGATATCACCATTCATACAACAATAAAAAGAAATGCCACAGAAACTAAACCACAAGGAGAAGATAAGGAGGCCAGAGAAGAAAAAGAAACAGTGCTAGTGGACATAAAAGAAACTAGTATCCCACAAAATGTTATACTTTCTAGCACAGCCAATAAGGCTGCAGTGACATTACCTGAGGTTCAACCTGAGAGAGTCAAGCCAAAACAGAAACCGAAGTACAGAACAATTAACTATGGGGATCCTTCAGTCAAACAAACATATAAGCCCAAAATCATACGTTTTACTGACACCTTTACTTTTTAGGTTGCCACTATTGACTAGACAGTGATACACAAGGTAGAATCTAAAATAAGTGTTTGCTGCTCAGGCACAGTTTCCTTTCACTGACACATTACAGCAAAATTTAATTGAGATTTCATTTACTCCAATTGTGCCTTCATAAACCAGAAACATAGTTGCTGCAAAATCAACTCAGATTAAGCAATAAATGCAGCAAATGAACACAAACGATCATCCACGAGCTAGTAGGAAAATTAATGGACCACAGTTAGTCAAGAACAATTTATTGCTAACACCTCTCTTGTGTATATTAATCACAATGTTAAGTTGGTTTGTATTAAATGGTATTCAGTGTATTTGCACAGAAATTCATAAAACAGTATAAGGATAAGAAATAACATAAGTGCACTTCAACATTGTGTAACAGCAGTGATAACCTCCAAATGACCTACAACAGTTAGGCTGACTGGCCTACAGTTTATCAAGGTTGACTTGTCGCAAAAAGTACTCTTAAAATAGGCTATTGTAAATAGTATTTTGGCCCTCTTGGCTGTCCTTAGATGTTGAACATGCCTCCATCGGTGACATATGTGATGTAGAGTCGTGTAATACTCACATTAGCCAGCTTTATGATTATTAGGAGAATAATATGTATTACGGAGTTAGATGATTGTTATTCAAGTGTACTCACAGTAAACCTATTGGTATTATTATTTACATGACTGATTTGACAGACTGCTTGTTAAATGATTATGTTAAAAACAGATACATACTATATACACAAAATTGTCTCATTTTAGATTAAACAAATATACAGTATAATATGTAGTTAAGTGATTTTACTTAATAAATGATGCTGTGAAATAAAAGGAACAAAATATATATGCTACTAACTGTTTTTCCAGAGCTTTGATGCTGTGTCACAGGTTTCAGTGGTTTCTTGTTGGCTTGCTGTTGTCACATTCACTGTGTTTAATACTGTGCATATACAGTATACAGCTGAGGATGGGGTCATCACGCTGGGCAGAGAGACAGAACTGCTTTGGTTTTCTTCAACCAGTACATCCTCTGAAACACAGAACACCCAGACAGCTGCAACTGGTCATAAAGAATAGAGATTTGATTTCATTTGCAAGCAGAATAATACATTCCCTTCTAGTACTTTTCAAATGTAAAGAAATTCCTTCTGGGGCACCCAGTGGTACAGTTTTATTAAACCAAAGTTTATATGTCTGCACCCAAGGGTCTTCGACATCAACAACACTAGTCACTTAAACAACAACTGCTGCTAAAAAGTGCCTCTAGACCAAGCTCGGGCTACACTTGTGCAGTGGAAGGAATTGGCATTTGGCCTGTTGTTATCTGTGCATACCAGCTACCTCAGCGCCTGCTGAGCAACTTTTGTCTGCTTTTTCTGCTCTATCTGATTTTTGGTTGGTTGGTTTGTTTGTGTTTCTGTGGGCTTCCTGGAAAACTGTCATCTCTACTTCAAACAGGTGTAACAAAGTCAAAAATGCCAAAGGAATTATCCTAATAAGAAAAGAAAAGCCAATAAATGAAAAGTAAACATACAATTTCAAAATGTTGTCATGATAAAATGCTGAATGAAAAACTGACACAGAAAGGTTGAGTCTCCCTCAGACATAACAGCAGACTGTACAGATCCTCAGAGAAATAAATCAATAAATGCCAGTATTTAATTAACATAAAACTGCCTAGAATAAAATATGTCAACCTGTCAATGAGTCGTCCCCCTAATGAGTGTTCTGAGATTAACATCATACATTTTTGCTCAAAATGTCCTAGAAAAGAAACAGACTCAAAGTTGACATGAAAGAATAATAATGAAATGACACACCGTCCTGTACGTCTACTGTAGGAATTATTTTGTTTCCACTGATCAGTCTGACAACTGGTCAAACTAATTGGACACAGCTGTCAAACGTTTGCCTCACATGCAGGGATCACTCATTATTATAACGTTTATTAGCTATAGACAGACCCAGTATTATTAGCCATGTACCTGGCAGCAGCAATAAACAACAATGATCATGTCGCGCTCACAATGTAAACATAAACTGTAATGATAACACGCCACCGTATTTATAATGTTGGTTCAACTACCTCTTCCCTAATGACCCTCCATACAAGACGATGAACGCCATTTGCCAGCTGTTAGGTCAGCCAGAGGATCACCTCTTAAATGCTGGAACAAAGACTTCAGATTATTTCATCAAAAAAGGGCACTACAACAATCCAAGATGGAGACTAAAGACCAAAGATGAAATTTGGTTTGCAGGTAATAACAATGATGATGACTATTACTCAGTCGCAGAGTGGAACAGTCGCCTCAATTTGGACGGCATTGTAAAGGGCCAGCCAGCGACAACATACGCTCTTGAATATGAAGACAGGATGGAATTTTTACATTTCCTAAAAGGATTGCTGCATGTTGATGCTGAGCAGAGACTCACTCCCAGCCAAGCCCTGCAACATAATTTCATTACAATGGCTCACCTGAAAGGTCACAGCAACACATCTTATGCAAAGAATGCCCATAAGTTAATGGCTGTCTGCACCAGCCCAAATGAATCAGGTGAAACAGCTGTTTCTCTGAGCAAGTCCAAACAAGATGGTGTGTTCACTGAGGAGAACTGGACTGCTGAAGAAATCATGGAAGGCTACACGGATGCATACATTTCTTATATGCATGAACTTACAGCCTGGCATGCCCTGCTGTGTGACAATGAGGACAACCGGGTCGCTGAAACAGTCTTTGAAGACGACACCGAATTATCCCCTCTTCATCATGGTGAGGTTTCAGACTTGGTTGAAATGGAGGATAATTCATTCTTGGCTGAGTTTGCTGAAGGAAACCCGAAAGCTCAAGAAATCGACTACCTGCTGCTATATACTCATTATATGAATGAAGCTACAGCCTGGACTGACTTGGACAGTGATTCAATCCCTGGTGTGTTCAGTGAGGACAACTGGGCGGCTCAAGCAATATTGCAAGACTTCAAGCCTCATCGTAAGCATGAAGCTTTAGCCTGTACTGAAAGGGAGAGTGACTTAATCCCTGATGTGTTCGCTCAGGACAACTGGGCAGCTCAAAAACACTTACAAGACCACAAGCCTTTATTTGTATAAAGGTTTGTTCGTTGAGGAAAACTGGGCTGCTCAAGCAATCTTACAAGACTACACGTCCCCACCCTATATCCACTAATTTTTCATTAATCACATTCATACGGGGCTGTGCTCTCAAATGCTGAGTTGCAAACTGCAAGCTGTTTACAGGAATCTGTAAATATATTCAGTTTATTTATATAGCACATTTAAAAGAGGGCGGCATGGTGGAGTGGTGGTTAGCACTGTCACCTCTGGCTACCCCAGAACATACAGACGCTGCATAAAGAGCGGTGCAGCATTTGTATGTTCTCCCTGTGTCTGCGTGGGTTCTCTCCGGGCGCTCCGGCTTCCTCCCACAGAGAGCATAGCCCCGACAGTAGAGATTAGGCAAGATGTTTTAGTAAATTACATGACAGGGATGTCAGACATGTGGGGACAGATGTCATGTAATTTAGAGCATAATCAGGGCAGCACAGTGGTGCGGTGGTTAGCACTGTCACCTCACAGAAAGAAGGTTCTGGGTTTGAGTCCGGGCTGACTCAGGGCCTTTCTGTGTGGAGTTTGCATCTTCTCCCTGTGACTGCGTGGGTTTTCCCCGGGTGCTCCGGTTTCCTCCCACAGTCCAAAAACATGCAGCTTAGGTTGATTGGTGACTCTAAATTGCCCCTAAATTAATCAATAAAGCAAATCTAATAAAGCTTTAATAATCATTCAGTCGGATTCTCTATTTTATTGCTGTTTTTCCAATATAAATCATTTTACAAAAGGACAGGACAGAATGCAAGAATTACAGGTTATACATGATCTAATATTGTATTAGATTAGAGTACAGTGTGCAAATGAATAACAGAACGTCAGTATTACAGGTAACAGAAGTGTATTGCATTGGTCCCAGGAGGAGAGATGAGAAAGGGTGAGGTGTGTGTAGTGGTATAGAAGAAGGCAGTGGGGGGTCAACAGGGGCAGAGTTCAGTAAAGAGACAGTTGTGGGGAAGAAGCCGTCTGAGTCTGCTCTTTTTGGTCTGGAGGCTCCTGAAGCGCCTCACCGAGGGCAAGAGGTCAAATATTGTATGTATGTGAACCTGCCACATGGCCCTCAAAATGAGCCACAACCTAACCATGTGCTTGCACATGTGCACATCATAGCTGTGCTCTGGTACTTTAACAAATTGCACTACACCTGGGTTTTAGAGACACCCTTTCTCTCACTTTATAGCCCTATATGTCAGCAGCTAGATAGCTAAAACACAGATAACCTACCTACCTAGCTGTATCACAATAGATCAGCAGCTAGGTTAGTTATAAATCAATAGGTCATTATTATTATTATTATTATTATTATCAAAAATAGCATAAACAGATATCACAGGGCAGTTTAAAAAACTGGCAAGCCAGAAAGACATTCCCTCAATTTGTCAAAAGATTAACTAGCATCCTAACTAGCAACAGTAGAAGGCCTTGGTCACTGTCTGTATTATTTTAGTGGCACTCCACGTGCAGCTAAGTTCCACAGCAGACTTGATGTGTCCATTTTCAAACAGCCAAGCTTTAGTGGCATGCCTTGGCATGAGCATATGGTCTGGAGGGGAACCACCTCTTTTATGAAAGACTGAGCCACAGAAACCTTAGAAAAAAATGTCTTTGCAATATATATATATAGTATATTAGATAATAAAAATCCAGAAACTCCACAGTGTCTTATTAAACAGCTGGTGTAATTTGTCAAATAGGTGTCCTTTCCTTAACCTTTTTTTAGTACAGGTTACACTGAACATATTTCTATCCTCGCATGGTTTCCCCTTTTTTTCAGGCCTGGAAAAGAAGGAACAACAAAAAGTCATCAGAACAACCTTGTGACAGTCCTGTCTGAAAATGAAAGACAGCGTTGCGTCAGGCTCCGGTTCATACTCTCACTTAGCACATAATCAAACTGAAATCTGGTGACCTGAAGTAGGGTTTACGTGATATTGATCCTCATCCAGTAAGAGCAACATTTTACACTGATTTTAAAAACCATAAACCCTTGGCTGTAGAAACTGCAGGGATTCTGAATCAGCAGAAACGTCTGCAGCTACCCAGCAGATGCTCAGGTGACCGCGTTTACCTGTGCTACGTGGCTGTGCTCAAGAGGGTGTGGCTATGCACCATTTTTGCTGCCTTCATATATTATCGGACATGTTAACACCGTTAAGTGCATATGGGGAACGTCGCTGGCTATCTCAATATGTTATAAATGTGTAAATGTTAATGTGATGCGTTATTTGACAAGTAGCCTAAATATTTGGCAGTGGAAGCTTTTACAAAAATCTGAATTGCCTGTTTTCCTCAGTGTTGCAGAATGTTGCTTACCGGAGTTTCTAAGTGTAATGTGTTGTGTTCATATATCGGAAATTACAGTTGCGATGATTAGCCCAGTTATTCAAAAAAAAAAATCGAATGAGAAATCATTAATTGTTTAAGTAATTTTCCAAGCTACAAAACCTTATCCTTTCATGTTCTCATATGTAACGATTTGCTTATTTTCTTCATCTTAAATGATCAAATTCTTTTTGGATTTAGGACACTCAAAAATGCATTTATAACTCGGCATCTCTCGTCCTTTCTTTCTATCACTGCAGCTCCACTTTATGCCATATGTTACATTTAGCCGTTCCATGAGAGCTCTGAAATAGGATGTTACGGGAATCACTTGAAAGCAACATTAGGTCTGATCTAACTAGGTTACGTTTGCGTCCCGGGGCAAGCACCCTGTTGAAGTTATCCTGAGAAGAAGTGTGGAAGTGGCTTGTACCTGTTTTCTGGATTGCACTACCAAATATTATAGCCAGTTAATGTGTGGACATTATTAACAGAACTACAGGCCAGTTGGGCTAGTTGTAGCTTACTCCGGGGAGGGGAGGATAAGAAGTAGCAGGTGCTTATGGTTGGAGGGGGGCGCAAATGGCTATAGCTGCATTTGGAGCTCGGCCCTACTGACTGGAGGGGTGGCGAGAAAATGAGAAAACCTAGGGCAAACTCCACCTTACCGGCGAATCGGTAACATATTTGAGGAATCGAGCTACGTGGTTTGGGGACGAAGTATGCTTTCCCATTTCAAGAACAGTGTGTTAATCCTAGGGGAAATCCGCAGCGTGTTGTCCCGTTTGTCAGCGTGCGAACACGGAGAAAGTGCACGCTAATTTACCTCAACTTAAAACGTGCCATTCGCCCTTTATGCTTGTTGTAAAGTTTTTGGAGAAAACAACGCGGTGGGTAGATGGTGAGACTCTAGCACAGCTTTTCAAAATATCTCTGGAATAGGGGAGGTAATGGAAAAGAAGAACAAGGCGACTAACCGGACCCGCTCCGCCGCCGACGGTAAAGCTGAAGACAGAGTGGACAGGTAACGCTTGCTAACTTTGGGTTATTTCAGCACGCTAACGCGCTTAAAGCAAGGTCTTATCACTTTGGGAGCATAAGAGCAATTGCCTGATTTATAAACCCAGAAGTAGGTAATGACCTTATTTCTTAATTTGTGGGAAATTGAAGCAGAAACGGTTAATATTTAGTGAACTGAGTACATTAGCTGGGCAGTTGAGTCGTTACAAGTATGGCTGTATTAGGTTACAACTACAGGCTAACGTTACTAGTACAAAGCATGTGTCATATCTTAGCAAAAACCTGAAGGCTTCGGGGAAGGTATTTGTAGTTTTTCTTTTTCCCATGGGTTCCCACGGGTATGGGTTCCCTAGCCTTCCCACCCTACATCAGATGGTAATCCAGCCCTGTAAGGGATAAATCATGTTCTTTTTTTTTTTACTTTGACTGTACTGTAGACATACTCCATTTGATTAGCCTCTTAGCAGACTCAGGTGCTGTAGGCCTGCTTAGGAGCTTTGCAGTGGTCTGGTGCTGTTTGGTCATTAAAAATAGGACAACTTTTATATTTTTCAAAATGGGCTAAATATCTCCGGCTCAACACCAGTCAGTCAGAACTGATGAAGCCTCTTGGATGAGAGGTGAAATGTCTTCGACCTAGAAATCTAGCCCAGTTGATTTTTTCAGTTTACTATGACCTGGATGACTGAGAATCTGCACAGACATTTTCAAAATGGGTTATCTCACACTTTGTACTTTACTGCACACCTGGCTAAAACTAATGCAGTCTAGTACAACAGGCTTTTTGAAGAAAATGATAATATTGTTCACTTTTGACTAGTTCACTTGAGACTAGTTTGTGGGTCTGTGGTTGCTTATTGTTGTCCAGCTCATTTACTATCATTTAAAAACACAACTCAGTATAATATTATGCCCATCCCTTTTCTGTTAATGAAGGTATACATTTTAGATATACCCTTCAGCATAATTTAACAACAACAACAAAAAACTGACCAGCATCCTGGGGGGACGATTTATTGCAGGACAGCAGAATTAAACTTGAGTAGAACTGCACTTGAAACAGTGCAGTTTATCTTTAAAGTTATCCACTTTCTCTACTTGCAAACAAAGCATTTTGACTTTGTTCTAGATGCCAGAAATTCATACTTAACTCTTCAGTATATGTGTTAAAGATTCTTTTCAATGAGAGGGAGGGCTGTTTGCACAGTTCAAGCAAACTGTAATGAGAGGGAGGGCTGTTTGCACAGTTCAAACAAACTCCAAACAACACCTGACATCAGGCACCATATTCACAAGCTCCACACTGATGCATCTAATATGTACCCTTGTTTTCGTTTTGGCAACAAGGACATTCTCTGATGATGAATGTAACCTTTGCATAATGATACCCAATATTTGCACAGCCCCACCAGTTACAGCCAGGAGTGTGTTATACACCACAGTAAAGTGGCTTTGTGCTGCAAAGCCTGTTGTGCTTGAACGTGCTCAAAATAGGTCTAGTGTGCTACCACATTGCTGGTCTCTAGGTGTGTTTCTTCTTCAGTGATGACTTTTCTTTTGTGCCAGGGTTTATTTAGCTGCAGGAAGATTATTGTGTTACCTAAGGTGCTAGGTTGAGCCTGAGTCACCCACACCTTTTTAGTTTAGAACAAGGTTGTAGATCTTAGTAAATGTTTTTATATGGAAGATTACATTAATAACACAGAACCATTAGTCTTTCTTTTGTGCTGTAATAAATGAACAATTAATAAAGGTTGTGTTTAGCCAGAGCTTCAGTCTTACCTTACAGTAAATACAAAAAATAGTAGTGCACAAGTAAAGCATATAAATTCACACACTACTATAAGTGCATTTTGTTCACTTTAATTTGCTCAGTTTTTTTTTTTTTTTGAGGTTGTCAAAAGAATTTTTAATGAAGCAAAGAAGTCACTGGAATCTTTTGAAGTAATTAGTTTACTTGCAGCAAGGAGACAAGTCAGCACAATAGTACAGAGTTGTCTGAGTAAACTAGATTCAAACAGCACAATATATAGTTGAAGAGGCACACCCTGATAACACGACCTATATGCTATCATACTGGGACACATGCTTATCCTACAGTTGACTGTTGTGTCTCGTTTCATCTGGAACAGTCTGTAGTCGAGTATATCACAGCACACAGAGTTTCACATGAAGGACAGAAAACATCCTTCAGACTTACACACGCCAGTTTCTCACATGGCTCTGTTGTGAAAGTTTAAAACACATTAAATAGCATAAATCATGTTTAATAACAGAATTTCTATAACAGAGGTGCACAATTCTATGATGTATTTGGTGATTTTGATGATGATTGGCAATTCTGATTAAAAACAATCTTTTGATGCGTTTCATTAATGTTGTTAACTGTTTCTGACTTTGTGCTATTTGACCTAGAGTGGATCCATATGGCTTTGAGCGCTCAGCGGACTTTGATTATGAGTCATATGAAGAAATCATGTCTGAGTATCTAGTTGTGCTCACCCGGCGCTCTATCAAGTGGTCCAAACTACTGAAGGGCAAAAGAAAGGTGCAGAAGAATGTAAAATGTGAGTGTGAAAGCTGAACACACCAGTATCCTCACAAGTATGACTGTGCACAGTAAACAGTACTGAACTTCAGTGTTTTCCCTCTTGTTCAGTAAAGCGTTACGTCCGTAAGGGCGTTCCCAATGAGCACAGGGCTCTGATCTGGATGGCAGCCAGTGGAGCTCAAGACCAGCTAGAGAAGAATCCGTACTACTATCAGTCCTTGCTTGGAGCCCAGCATGACCCCAAACTAGTGGAAACTATCCGCACAGGTCAGACTGTGAACAGTTTCTCATTCATGCTCACTCTGACTTCTTTTAGAATGCTGGCATACATCAAGCCAAATTCAGAGAACTAGAATCAGCAAAGGGCACAATGAATCTCTGTCCTGTAGTGTGGGCCCAGCCTTAAACCCCTGAATAGGGGAATTAATGTTGTCGTCCATTGATTGTCAAGGATAAACAAACTAAATTAGCCATTTTCACACCAGTGTGAATCTTATTAAAACTGTCATTATATGCTTGGAACACAGAAAGTTGCAGTTCGCATTGTAAAATGTTATGTTATGCACCTATGCTTGTGAAACATGAAAAATGATGAGAAACTGTAAAATGAGTAAAATAGCGCTTGTACATCCAGTCAGGAAGTGAGTGCTGATTAATGCTGACTGTAGCCAACTGTGCTGGACACACTACCAAATCTACAGCTTCTGGTCAGCTATACAGTGCACAATGATGCCCAACAGTTTGGTGTTTCAGAGCCCTGAACAGTCCCATTACAGAATACTTTAATGTTCAGGGCTCATATCATACTAGCTCCAACTGCTGTGTTTGTGATCATGCTCCATGAACTGAAGGGAGGAAAGCAGAAAGTGCTGCTCTCCACTGCTGGCCTGAGCAGGGTTGGAGTCCTCACCAGACAAGGCCCTTCAAAGAGCTGTCCACCAGTTTCCACCCTACTGGGAGGTAGTGGGGGGTCTTTGTGCAGTGACAAAGACACAGTCCATTAAAGGTTTCCTCTGCCTCCACAAACACAATACTAATTGTCTTTAATATAGTGTTTTCCCTGGATTGAACCTGGGTTTTTCCTATATAGTGCTTGACAAGTCCTTTGCCCTGACGGTCCTCAATTAAATATTTCATTGTAACTGATACTGCTAACACAGTGTATCTCAGCTGACTTATGTACATAGGAAATAGTGAATTCACCAACGAAACTGTTAATAGCTATTATCCTGCAGCACAAAAGTGTTAGATTTGTTGCTAAAAAAACACCTGTAAGCAAGACCTGAGCTGTCAAAGTTAATATTTAAATGAAAGACTGATATGTTTCTCCTTCCTGAAAATTTTTTTTCCCACTCTCTCTCATGTTTGTATACACACACACAGCACAAAGTATGATGAGTGGTTTCTTTTTTCAGACTTGAACAGAACATTTCCAGACAACATCCATTTTCGCAAGGCAGCCAATCCATGTCTACAGAAAGCTCTGTACAATGTGCTGCTGGCTTATGGTCACCACAATCCAGCTGTGGGCTACTGTCAGGTAATAGTGAAGTACTCGAGATCCACCTGCAAATGGATCTTTGCATACTTGGGGATACGTGAGCCCAACAGGACAATTGGTACCTGAGGGTTCGGGTCTGGGTTGGGTTTGGACATGTGTTGGTCAAAGTTTAGGCTAAACGTCTGGAGCACTCAAATGTCTGCTTTGTTTAGTGATAAGGGGAAAACATTACAAACTCAAATGCGTCAAGCACAGGTCGGTTTCAGACAGAAATATGCGGCCCAATCCATGCTCTAACTCAATCTAAACCTTGTTAATTATATTTTACCATGTTTAATTATTTTATATAGTGCTGCTCTATGACTGATTTATTCAGGATTAGGTCCATTATTGTTGTGTATTATTGTCACAAAATATATTTTAAGTTTCACCAAATCTTTATAGGAATAACATGGACAATACAGACTTGGTGTGCCTACCAGAAGTGTATACATGGAAAAACTATAACTTAAACATACCAATAACTTTATACTCCCAGGCATATGTTTTGAGTATGTGTTCAAGAAACAGCTTGATATACTTTGGCCCTGTGATAATTATTAGCATTTGAAAGGCAAATTTCATTCACCAGAGCACATGCAGCATTATGTTTGCAGTTCAAACAGGCACCAGGGATGTGTGGATGGCTCTATCTCTAGAACTGACTCATCTCTAATCATACTCTGTTTTGTCTCCTTAGTTCATGTCAAGTGTCTCCCCTGGGTGCTGTTTTCAGATAGTCTCAATAAAATCTGCTCAAACACAACTGTAAAAGTTACATGCAGCCTGAGTGTGTTTCTTTCTTGTCTGCAGGGCATGAACTTCATAGCTGGGTATCTACTTATTATCACAAAAGATGAAGAGAAATCCTTCTGGCTGATGGATGCACTCCTCTGCAGAATTTTACCAGGTGTGTGTGGGTGTGTATACACTTAATTTGCCAGCGTCCCAGTGGACAGGTTTAGGTGTAGGTGTTCTGGTTCTCCTTTGCTCTGAGCTAAATATAACCCTGAAGAGGTCACATGATCTTTGTGTGGCATAAGGCTTTTTCTTTTTTTCCATTTGTGTCTTGCATTCACTCAAATAAGTGAATGTTGACATAAATTAGGAAAATCTTGGTAAGTTTTCAGCTGTCTTCAATTGAAGCAAGTCCAGCTTTTGTGTGACAGAACTGGATTTGTTTATACCCATTTGTAGTTAATTAGGAGCAGTGCATAACTCATAATGATCTGTTTATGTGGTTACAGACTACTATAGTCCAGCCATGCTGGGCCTGAAGATGGACCAGGAGGTGTTAGGGGAGCTGGTGAAACTTAAAATTCCCAATGTGTGGCAGACCATGGTGGATCACAATGTCATGTGGAGCCTGGTGGTGTCCCGATGGTTCATTTGCCTCTACATAGACATCTTGCCAGTAGAGGTGAGTGTGTCTGCACGTTTCATAGTGCAGCCAGGAGAGAAAATCATGCTGTAGCCTGACTGGTATCAGGATGTGGCTGCAATTTTTTTAAGTTTTTGCATATTTCAAACAATAAAAGCTCTGTCAAAGCACACCACTCACTGTACTACTACACTGTTTTATGTACTTTATGTTGTGGATTCAGATTTTTAAAATGTGCTATGCTGTTCCTCCTTTTCCTGTGTTTTGGAATGGCCAATCCAGCATGTGCAACAGTCCTTGTTGTTGCTAACTCCCTCTGGTGGCCAGGACAGGGCATGGGCAGCTAGGTGTGTTCTCCAAATAAACATGGAATGTTGCTAGGAGGGTGTAACACTTGCACAGGCACATGCTGTTCCTTCAGAATTTCACGCCCATACTCAGTCACTGTGGTCAGTCATTAGCTATTGCTATTGTAGCAACAAGGACAAAATGTCTTAATTTCCCACCAAGAGGGATTGAGGGTTGCTGCTGCAGTTTCTCTTCTGCTCCTCAACCAGTTTAACTGTTTTTATAACTTGTTTTTTTTTCTTTTTCTTTTTTCAATTCCCTCTACAATGCAAACATCATTTTTTGGTGCATTATAAATACAGCAAATCATTAAAACATCACTAACAACCAGTTTACCACTCCAGTGACTCTTAATACAACGTACATCTGGGTGCTGACATTTTGGAGACTTTCTAATCTTGTCACTGTTAATAAGGTCTATATAACACTTATCTAATGTTTGTTTAAACCGCAGGTTAAACTCTGTTTTGTGCATCACAACACGTGTTTGCTGGTGGGAGTTATGGTTTCACTGTTGCCATTTTTCTGCAGACTGTTCTGCGCATTTGGGATTGCCTGTTCTATGAGGGCTCAAAAATCCTGTTCCGTGTAGCTCTGACACTGCTTCAGCACAACCAAACTCAGATTGGACAGGCCCAGTCACTGCCAGATGTCTGCCAAATCTTCAAGCAGATCACCTGTGGACCACTTGTTGATGAATGCCACACTTTCATGAAGGTAAACGAAAAAGTGATGAAGTTATTAAGAGTGTTTTAAATCGATTTCAGTGAAATATCTTGTAATGTGTTTTCTTTAATCCTGTCATTCTGTTTCTTTCTTAGAAAATCTTCACTGCACCAGGGAGTTTCCCCATGGCAACCTTGACTAAGCTGCGAGCATTGTGTCGATCTCGCATCATTGCTGAGGAGTCATGATACAGACTGACCACCTATTGCTCAAACTCACTATACATTCCACTGGAAGAAGCGACGAGCAGCTTGTTTGTACCTTTTTTAACTGACTTGTCACACTGAATCCTACATGTAGCATTTATCTTAATCTTGTTTTGAGACAGCCATACAACCTAAATGCAACTATAATCAAGATTTAGTTTTCAAATATGATGAGAATATTTCTAACAATATGCTGTATGAACTGACTGTTCCATTGGAAATTAACATGTAGTTTGTTGTAGGTGAATATTTTTTGTTAATATGCTGAATTTGCACTTTACTCCAGAATGTCAGAGACCCTGAGGAGAAGATGCTTGGCAGCAAGTGGCCAGTTCAGATACGTGTTGCACGCTGCAAATACAGCTAGGAAGAACCTGCCTCCTCTATTTCACAGTTGTCTTACTCACAAATATCATGGACTGTTAACTAATTGGGCATTTGACTGTTAAATGTCAGTGACAGAACATGCTGCAACTAATCCAATGTGAATATTACTGATTTCATAATAGAAACTTTAAGCATTTCAGTATGTGGTGTGTGTAGTTTTTATGTTGTGTTCAGGTTTTGCAGCCATTTCAGCTGAAACACAGCTGCTTTCTTTTTATAATAATGGTACTTTAAGTCCAGGGTGTCCTGTGTATGGGTTTGGGGGCCCTTTAAACTGTGATAGTATTGATATCAGATTTTGCTGCACTGGACAAAAATAACCTTGGGGCTGATCCCAGCTCTGATTAGTCTGTGTAATGTGCACCTGCTTGCATAGCTCTGAGTAAACAACCATGTTTATATCACACAAACTAGATAAAGCGAATCGTAACTGTACTGTTGCATGAGATCCCCAAAACAAAAAAGATGCACTTAAAAGGTTTTTATTAAATTTTAGTAGGAGAAAATGAAATCAAACCATATTCTATACAAAGTAAAAGATCATATCAGTACAGTTTGGTTTTTGAATGAACATGAACCCATGCACCTGTTTACTTGTACTGCTAAATCCAGAGTTGCATTCGGTGTACAGCTGGACTATTAGAGTTTATACAAAGCAGCAATCTGTGTTTTTATCTTCAGTTACCAGCTGGCTTAATTTGATGAATTCAAATGGGCCTTAGCGCACTGATGGGACAGTTCAGGCTTTTATCAGTCTGCTGTGGAGAAATATGACTGGAGAACCACACATTCATTGCTTTCCCTTTTCTTAGGTCCACTGAGATTATTTGATGCTCAAAGTTAAAGAATTGTACTAGTAAACATGTGTAGGTGTATGAGTAAAACTCCACGACTTGTCAGACATTTGACCATGGGATGATGTTATGATTCTTCATAAACAATTACAGCTGAAATTCAAGCTAATTCAACCACTTCCTAAAACAAAGAAAAAAAAAGGAGTAGAGCCAAACACACTGAACTTGCAGCAAATTCAAACTGCTACTATCCTTGATTATGTGAAGACGAAGTCCTCTCAGATGTCACACCATCTAAACATAGCAGGTTTTTGGATTCTCATTGTCCACGGCGAAAGTGAAAGGAAGATGAAATACCCAGAGGTCACATAGGATATGCTAAAACATGCAGTCACCACAGAACAACAAGTGCTTCCATTCATTATTACTTGCTCAGGTTCATCTCTCCGACTTCAGGCCTGTCGGTTTTCAATTACAGGTCTGTTCAGATGGTCTGGTATCCAGCATGGCTCCTCTTCCTGCCTATTAGGTATGCAACGAGCACAATCAGCACAAGGCCAGCGAGAGCTGCTCCAACAACAATGGGGATGAGCATCTGGTCCTGGTCCACCTGACACTCCTCAGCTGAAGATGTAGAGGAAGAGAGAGCAGCAAAAAGTAATCGGTTAATGGTTAAATACTCTATCCCTCCAAGCCACAAGTAGCTTAACATAGTTTATAGTTTAACATTTTGGGACTTACACTTATTGTCTGCTAAATATAAAGCTTCACTCAGCAATGGTTGAGTTTAGCTTAATAAAGACTGGAAGCAAGAACTTGAAGCTCACCAATTAACATATATCATTTCTCCAACTTGTGTGAAAAATATTCACCTAGCATAGCAACTAGAAATGGCAAATTAGTCTTATAAGATTGGGATTCCCCAGCTTGTAGGATGCTACCTACTTGAAACTAACTAAAATGGATGTCAGAAGAAAAAGACAAAAGAAAACCTGGAATAAAATGAAGTGAAATAAAAAGAAAAAGCAGTTATACCTGTAGCAAACTGAGCAGTGGTGACTCCAAAGGGCTGGACCTGCAGCTTGAATGTGTTGAGGGAGAAGTTTGACATCACAACCAGAGTTTGCTCTGTGTTGCACATGTAAGAGTGGCCCAGCGTACTCCGCAGGTAGTTGAGACTACTGTTACTGGCAAGGAATGGAGCTGTGGGAAGAATTGGATTATTTCTTCAAATTTAACAATTTAGAGCCACTAATGGGGGGGCGGGGGGGGGCACAGTTTGCTAATAAATTACATACCAGTCATATCGGACCAGTTAGCCCGTAGAGATATCTTACTAAGGTGGTACTTGTTGGACGTGGAGTTCTGTTGATGGGAGGAAGAGCTGAATGGTTATTTCCATCCACACACACAAAGACAAACTGATCATGCAGACAAATTCACAGAACACTGATGAATTTACCAGTGTGAAGGTGAAGTTGAGTGTGGTGGTTTGCTCTTCTGTCAAAGCCAAGGTAGCGCTGCTGGCTGCACATGATCCTGATGAACGTGTCACATTGGGAGTCAGATTTACCACATTTTGGACAGTCTGGCAGTACAAGTAGAAAAAGCGGTTCATTTTAAGTTTCTTAAGCTGTATTGAAAATTATTTTAACAGCTGTTTTATTATAGGCTGCTCCCCATTACCTTATTCTGAGATAGAGAAAAATAGGAGACATTGAGCTGCAGTCCCATTTGTGCCAGGAGACAAATGGTGCCGTTGCTATCGTGTACAGAGTAATTGCCACGTTCAGGTGTTCCTGCAGGGGTTGGTGCTGGAGCGGCTGTTGTTGTAGTGCCGGCAGTGGTAGGTAAAGTTGTAGTAGCAGCCTTATCTGCCACACATACACTTTCTGTGAAATGATAACCAAATATATAATCAACCCAAAAGAAACAGGTCAAACACACTAGAAACCCACCAACTCAGGAAGAAAATCACAATCACAGCTGCACCTGTTGGACTCAGGTCACTTCCTGGCATGTACGCCTCCAGCCTCATATCAGAGAAGGTGACAGTTGCTCCACCAACTCTAACGGTAGTGGGACTCAAACAGCGGTAGGTGGTGTTGATCATCGCCCAGATCCCAACTGAAGCCGACACCTCAGTGACCACATCTAGGACACAATCAAACATACAACAAATTAATTAAATCTTTAATACAGTACTTATCAACTAACTTGATTAAATTCTATATTTCTGACAAACAATGACATTGTGACACACCGTCTTATCCTACTCAGTATATATTAAGGCAGTTTTAGTACCTCTGTCATGATTAAGAATCGTTGCTGTTGAGTAAACATATCTGTGTGGGGTTTGTTCCAAATCCAAATCCTTATGCAAGTTTAGCGTTCAGAATTTGCAAGTACCTAAGGTAAATAAATATCTACAAGTCAAAAATTCTGTTCATATTTGTGATTACCTTGTCAGGTGAGAAACCAGGAATACTACAATTTTAGTAGTAGTGACTAAACTAATCAAGATTAATTAAGCTAGCCTAATTAACTTTCACAAACTGACAATGAGCACCAGATGAGATGACTGCTGGCTGATATTGATCGTTCTGACACACTGAAATAATTAGACTAACAATTATTTTCATTATTGATTAATAGGACACTTATTTTGTCAATTAATGATTAGGGCTCCAAGAGTAACAAAAGCAATAAGTAATAGTAAAAGTAATAATAATAAATTAACATAATATGTGCAAATCAAATTTCTTTCAAATGGCCAATCAATTATTCAATCACTCTTGCAGATCTAGAGATAACAGATGGATCATACAGTTTAATCTCACCGGAGCTGTTGGCCTCAGGGAAGATGGACGTGTCACTGAGGTTGTACCATAGCGTCAGGTTAGCAACGCTGTACAGACTTCCATTGGTTGAAAAGCTCAAACCCAGAGCGTGGCCGGGTCCAAACACGGCCACAAGCTGCGGCGACTTGCCACCTGTGCCACATGAGCTGCTGCCTTTGTCGACTGTGGTGGAGTTAGGCAGAGAGACGTGTGCTGCTCTCTGAGGAAACACAAGTGATACACTAAAGGGAATGTGGCACTATTTAAAAACGTATTAAATATGAATGTTTTCAGAGATGGAAACTGTACTGTGCTGTTGGAGGTGTTATATGTGATGGATAATGATGCAGAAAGCTCAGCCTTAATGCAGGTGGAGTTGCCCTCATGCACCTCAAGAGTAACAGCCTGAATGCAACCTGCAGGGGAGACCATAATGAGCAGAGACGCACAACATTCAAGCTATATGGAATAAAAGTAAACATCTTCAAAACAAAATCAAACTACTCACGATAAGTCTGTGTTAATTAGTGTTCCATAAATTTCCACACTGAATTTTTAACTATTAATATTGATATGTTGCCTAACAGACATTATGACTATAAAATGTGAGCTGATGATGATGTTGACCTGCTGGTAAATACATTTGGGCAACTTTACTGCACTAGTCCTATAACACACACACACACTCATATACGTTTAATAGTTTAAGTATCCATTATCTGGGTCTTCTGATTTTATTTGACTTACCTTGGTAGATCGAGGTTACAAAATGAGAACAAACCTTAAAGCAGTTCATGCAAACAGCCACCAGAGGACTACAGGCAGCTAAAAGTAACCAGCACGCCCATAACCCCTTTTTTTTTGTGGCAGATGTTTCTCAAAGCAGGACAACCACAACAAAAACACATTAACAGTGGCTGTACTGCATTTAGATGAGCCACTTCCAGGGTTTAATACTGTACACCCTGCTTCACTAGAGAGGCTTCCTGGAACACGGTTAATGTTCGTGGCTCCATCTGTACTTTCCCTGCTGTTGTAGAGCTTATTAGAGCTGCTGCTCCACTCTAGTCTTGCAACAGGTGTAACTAAACGTCTCCAAACCCAATGGAGTCAGGAACTTCATGTATTAGAAAGTTTCTTCTATGAGCAGAATTACAAAGTAACATCTAGCAACTCTGCCACCTCATTGTTGTGTCTCTGTGTGCGACAGTGCTGTACATCCCAAGCATACTGTTTGAAAGCTATAGTGGTTATTCAGGATCTATGTATTAATCAAGTCCACAACTCGTATCCTAAAAAAAAAAAAACCTTTCTAAGCCATTTTACAACACAGTAATGAAATACAGGAGTTTCACCACTTGCTTCACACTTCCCAGAATATCTATGAAGAAGTTGAGGCAGTGTGACTCAAAAGGGGCTGTTGTATGACTGAATATTCCCCTCTGGTTGACTTTCCATCAGCACAGACACTCATTTACTCTGCTGTGTTATTAAATTCTGTTTTCTTTATTCTGTTCAGTCAAACTTTAATAAGGACCCATAATATAAAAACTACTCATCAGAGAAAAGTAATCTTCCCTGCCTTGCTAAAACATGACCTTGAGGTCTCCTCTCTGTTCCTCCTGTAAACATACAGTAGACCTTTTACCCAACACAGCAGTCTGATTATGTCTTAAAGCAACTGCTTGTGCAACATATGATGCTGCAGATAGCAGCGTTACACTGCTGTCGGTGTCGAAAGAATAACATGGCAGCTCTGGGTGTTTGAGGTCAGCAGGAGCCTTTAACATGTTGCAAAGTAAAAAACTATAAGAGGCTAAAAGAAAAAAAGAGTGAAACTTCTGAGCTACAGCTGTATTGGCCTGTTTTCCTGTCTCAGCAGTCAGATGCCTGTGTGTGTTCAGGACGATTAAACTAGCACTGTCCATGGGGCTCTGCTGAGTTGTATGCAACACAAAGCATGGTAGCGATCAGCTATCAAATGACATAACAATGAGGCCAATCTGCTGGGCCACAACAGTAACAAAACCTGGGCATTATATTAGAACAGAATAGACTCAGGGACTTCTCAGGACTGTTTGGACACCAAGAGCAGCTGCCCTTTAAAGAGCCAGGCTCATATGAAACTCTGAAATGCTGTGGGTCCACTTATCCACTTGCTCAGTCTTTGAGATCATGTACATAATACACAGACTATAGCTATACTGGAAGGGTTATTTTCTCTGCCATTACTTTAGACTAATTTTAATTTGTCAATGCAGTAAAATGCCCCCCTTGACTGTTATACTACCATTTATTATGGTGTGATTAATGGTTGTTATTGTGGATTAGTTATTTTCTAAATTCATTTCAATTGATTTACCACTGTCCCAAGCCATACAATTATTAAAAAACTCAAATTCAACCTACAAAACGTTTGGCATTTTGCTTGAAAATGGCTCAAACCTTTATCATAGTAGTTTCCAATACATTTTCTGTCAATAAACATATCAGTGAATCAACTAATCAGGTAAAAAGCAATACTAACAAAAGCATTTAGTGCAGTAAAACGTTCAATCTCTCTATATTGTAGTGAAGTACCTCAGTAAATGTAATTAGTTGATGGACAGAACAATCGCAACTATTGACAAAGAAACAATACAACTGGATTTAGTTTCTCAAATGAAAACCTTTGTTGGTTTTCATTGTCATAATTCGCCTTAAAATAATTACAATAAACTGCGAACTCTTGTTTTAACAAAACAAGAAGTGTGTAGGATCTGGACGTTTTGATGGATTCTTTTTCACTGCTTTGTGACGTTTCAGAGATTATGCGATTAACCGAAGATATCATGTGCTGATTAACCGATCATAAAAATAATCGATAGTTGCAGCCCAAACATTAACCTTAGCTATGATGATGATGATGATGATGATAATCTGCTGTCTACTTGATATTATCAGACTAACCAGCGGTTGTTATAGACTGGTCCAGTGGCTGTGGCAGGAAAGGGTTGAGTAGCTTTCCACCGTAAAACACTCACCTAAAACCGCAAACCAGGTGAAGATGAGAGCAGTCAAAGCGTGAGAAAGTTTCATTCTTCAGGTCAGATCACACGCAGGACGAAAAAACAAAAGCCCGGAGTTGTGGTGTGTAGCTGCTGCGAGGCGCGAGGTAGACACAGTACGGACGACGCAACAAAGCGCACTAGACCTCACGGACGGTCACCTAAAAGATACAAGCGTCACTGATGTGATTCACGTTTCTCTGCTGCCTAAAAATAGCGAAAACAATGTGTTTAGTATCCGTAAGACATGTCTTGCTGGGACAACAGCTCGGAAGAATCTTTACATGTAGGTCACATCCACACTGCCTGTATGAGCCATGGCTAGTCACGTGAACAAGTAGCGTTTAGCTAGCAAGTCACGTGAACAAGTAGCGTTTAGCTAGCAGGTCACGTGAGACGGCCCCTCTGTGAGGCGATCAGCTGTGCTCCGTCATAAAAACCATTGTACATAGCAATGTACAAGAAGCGATATACATTTGTCCTGTCCAACTTAACTGCGCTAAAAGAACGTTTATTTTTAAGTATGACTTTTTTTTTTAAATAAATGTACATAATGCAGGCGAGGTCACACCAACTATGTTGCAATGAAAATGACTTCTCACACACGCCATGACATGTCAGGGCTAAATGATTAAAAGTACCTCAAATGTAGAATGTGGAACTTTTCACTTAAATTCATATTACATGTCAAGTATATAATTCTAACTACAAACTGCCTGGTATAATACTAAAGCCATTGTAGGATGAATTCATTAATTCACACGAGCATATTCCCTAAATGATTTAAATATGGTTATGAAGAGGCTCCATTATCTGGTACTTTATTTTAAATGTATGATCTGTAGCACAACGTCAGTATGTGAGAGTGTGAGCTCACACACCATGTGCTGTGCATGTGTTGTTGGTAGTCAGCTGACACCACCAATTCAGAGGGTATGCAAAACCCCAGAAGGAAGTTGCTTTAATGAAACTGTCTCAGGATCCTTCTACATTGTCACTGCACACTTTAACCATGCTTTCTGACAACACACATGAAGTCTGTCTTAAAACCAGACTGTAATGTCAGACCACTGACCACTGTTGACATATTTAACATTTATTTATCATACAAAACCTGTACATTCCTTACTGTAATAGTGGAAGTTTCAATGAATATCATTTTCAGTACTGATATTCGATACTGATATTCTAAATGGTTCATTTCTATCAAAGTGCCATATTTATTGACAATAGCTGAAATTTTGTCTTGTGATGTGCATTTAGAGTGGCACACTCTTCAGTATAGATAAAACAGGGCAGATGTGTTCAAATACCTAAAGGATGTACAATTCATTAATCATTAAATACCAATTTATTCAGGTTTACTTTTCTCACCCTTACATAGAATACAATCTGACCTACAAAAACATCAGCACATGTCACTGGACATCTGGACATTTTGGTCAAAACATACAAGATATGCAAAGAAATACCCAAGTGGCTGGCATCTGTGTCACAAGCAATAATCCCTTTGTTCTTCTCAAGCATTGTCCTTGTCCTCAACAGCTGTTTTTTGCCAAATCAAGCAAGCAAACAATCAGGTTTACACCCAGCAGTTTATGCAGCCATACATAAAAGAAAACGCCTTGAACAAAAACAAAACAATCTTAAAACTAAAGACAAACCAACTATAGTACAAATTTGATTTTAAAACATGGGAGAAATTTAACTCAATCCAGAAGAAAAACAAAAGTGAAAAGTGCTAGTTATTTTCAGTTGAGTTTTGCATTAGCAGGTTTGTAAGTCACATAAACCAACCATCAACAACTTCTCCTGCCACATTTCAGTGTCCCACTAAAGATATCGCAGAGTGGGACCAGTACAGCCAAGTCTGTTTTGTCTCTCCGGAGCTCTGTGTGATCTGGACGCTGTGTCCAGGATTGTAGATGGAGAGAAAGATGGGCACCAGTGGAGAGCCAGGTGGCTGAAGGGCTGTAATGCTGTTTTGGGGGGCCAGCTGTATGCTCACTGTGAGGAAAGCTTTGCAGTGACAGTGGTATCCCCTCAGGCAACGTAGTGGTACTGGTTAGGAGTCTCCTTGTCACGTTCCATGTAGTCTCTGTCTATAAGTGACTCAATCCGCTTCTTTAGATCTCCTGGCTGTGAAGAGGAAACTAGGTAAGATACAGATAATCTGTGTGTGCGTATGTACTGGAAGAAAAAACCAAAGTAATGAGAAGCTTTAGATACATCACCTTGACAGGGAACTTCAGTTGGTTGTAGAGCTCTGATACCAGTAGGTTGTGACTCAGGGTCTTCCTCATCTTCATAATGCGCACCACAGCTGCATCAATCTGATATTGCCTGTCTTGAAATACACGCTCTGTGGTGCTTACCTGCTCCTCTACCTGTAAAAAAAAAGTGTTTTTAAACTGCTAAGACTCATCCTTAAGAAATAGGAAACCATTATGTAAGTAAAAAGTGCAAAGTGAGCCTTGGTGGAAGAGGGGAGTGTGTGAACAAAGAAAACAAAAATGCACAAGTATTTTTACCGTTTCTTTCATTTGGATCTGGTTGATCTTGATGCGGAAAAGTTTGTGTCTAAAATCATTGTTGAAACTGAAACGATCTCCATCCTCCACATCTTTCCCTCGAGGGTTCTTGTTGAGGACGCGTGCTTTTCCGCAGGCCAGGGACTGCAGTGTACGCCTGAGCTCCCCCTCCTCTGCGCAGGACAAGCGATAATGATAGTGTGATACAGCAGGTACCTCTCCCACAATGTAACAGTTGTACTACATATTGAAAGAGGTGTAACCTATGCCAGTGGCAGTGCGAATCTCCTCCATGCTGAATTCCTCTTCCTCATTAAACATCAGCAGCACCAGTGTCTGGAACAGAGAGACCTGCAGTTCCTTCTTTCCCTGTAGGATAAAATAGTCCCTTTAAGTGCTGTTCAGGCATTTTCTCCAGACAGTTTGTCTTTCTCTATGCCCTGTTAGGACATTCCAAACCTCTACCTCTTTAAACTCTGCCTTTAGTACAGCGTGGCCCAGTGTTGGCTGCCACTGCAGCTTCCTCCCACTGTGCTTCCCCAGGTAGAACAGCTTGAACACCTCCTGCAGCTTTACCATCTACCATCACATAGAGACAAAATTTGTTACAAGATCATTTTTAACACAGCCTAGTAAGGACCAGTTGGTGATCATCATCACAATGGCTGCTGCCCAAGTCTCCTATATTGGTCCTCGATCCTTGCTCCTCCCAGAAGTCATTCAGATCGAGCTAGGATTGAGGAACAAACATACAAGAAACCTGAGAAGCAGCCATGGTCTTTTGCTTTCACAAACTTTCCACAACAACCTTATCATGCTGTGCTTACTATAAATGAGCACAAGCAACAAATAAATATGCTTTAAGCTATTAAAGCTATTAATAATGCTTTAAGTCTGATACTCAGGTGCATAACCTGCTGTGATATCACAGCATAGTGTGCACAAACAAGAGCACCTACAGTATAGAAATGCTTACCTCTGTGGGCAAGTGGACCTCCATGGGCGTGTATGAAGGCCAGTAACCCATGGTGAGGATATTGACAGTAAGTTCTATGTTGCTTGGCTCACTCTGGTTCTGCATATACTGAGTAGAAATATTACAATTTTATCAATTATGATAAAAAAAAAGTCAACGTATACAAATACGTTAAACGTGGCATCAATAATATAAGTTAGAGAGTGCAAGTACCTGTTTGAACTGGATCATGATGTCTTTGGACAGCTCCATGTCCTTGAACATGCCCTCAAGCTTACTCGTAAATGCCGCTCCGCATTCTGGAAGAAGCAAAAATGACAACTTGTCACAACTTGTTTTCACACCAACACATATAGAATGCACCTGTGAAAGACTACATCCAACTTTATTAACATTCACTTTAGTGCATCACCTGCTAAAATACTGGGCAGATGCAAAGATCCTCTTTACAGGTATTGTAGTATAATGTACATCAAGGTAAAACTTGAAGTCTGCGATTGAAGAATTGATAATGGTTACGCTCCACTGATCATGCAAGGTCAATCATAAGCTATACACATCCTAAAATCATTTAGGGTGTTTTCATCCTTGGTCCCTTTTAAATGAACTCAGAACTGTTTAAATCAAACCAAAAAGGGATCCTTATTGTGTTCACACTGTGAGTACAATTGAAAGAGGACTCAGCTCTCTTTCTGGCCCACTTCAGCTCTGATGGGGCCTCAGTCCTTTTTCTGTTCATACTGACTCTAGAGCTCTCAGACCTTTACTGCTTTCATGTCAAAGGACTCTCTACTTTATCTCTTTTTATTGCATATGGTAAAGTACTTTTGACTTATTTTTTTTAAATTTTTTTTATTTTTTACTTTGATGCTTAAATAAATAACATACCTGGGCAAGGAGAGATAAACTATGAGCTAACCAGTGGAAAACCGCATTTCTCCATCTTGCACGCAAAAGACTAGAAGAGAACCTGGCGTGCTTTGTGTTCACAATGCACAAATGAAGTGAATCGCATGGTGGACTTGAAATGAACCTGAGACCCCTCCCGAGGCGGTCTCAGGTCAGTTTGTTGCAGAGGGGTCTGAGTTCATGTGGAGTGTTTACATTTATGCAAAAAAATGCTGGCTATTCACTCTGAGTTTGTTTTAAGGACTGAAAAGAGACCAAGTGTGAAAATACCCATAAACTACAGGTAAGCCTGTTTCCTGAAACTCTCAAAAACTGTAAGCATATACGCATGTCTAAGTTAGTCAAGGATTTTGATTATCGATGACAATTATTGATTAATGACCACTACATCAGACTAGAGATTTACCATGTTTGAGCTTAGAGAGCATGGACTTTTCAGCATCAACAGAAGCACTCTTGCCGACCAGCAGACGCTTAGCCAAGTCCTTCTTATAAAAAGCTTCAAACACATCTTTTCCTGGAAGGAGAAAACAGAGAACAAGAGATGTCATCAGAATGCATCAAGTTTCAGAGTGGTTAGTAACACTGACTTAAGTTTCAAAGCAAACACACAGTGGAACGGTGCACCACCACTCCTGAGTCTGCTAAATCTTCCTGCAGGTTTTTTGCAGTCAAATGGGGGTTTTGATTTGTCTTTCTGACCAGCATACGAGCAGTTCTGTCCGAGAGTTTTCTTGGTCTTCCAGATCTCATCTTGACCTCCACAGTTCCCCTGATCTGCCATCTCTTAATTACATTTCTTACTGTGGAAACTGCAAGCTGACAACGCTTTGCTATCTTCTTGTAGCCTTCTCCTGCATTGTGGGCATCAATAACTTTCATTTTCAGGGTCTTACACAGCTGCTTAGAGGAACCCATGGTTGCTGGGTGTCCACAAGTGTGTGCACAAGGTTTGAAGAGTCAAGGTATTTGTACAGCTTTGAAATTGGCATTTACCAATGACAGCTGTTGCTGTGCATCAGATCTACCGAGCTGATTAAGGTCTGAAACCTTGTGAGAGACTTTGAGACTCTGGAACTCTTAGGGTGCCCAAACTTTTGCACCATGCCATAATAATGTTTTTATTTTTTATTTTTGTTCAATTTATGGCATAAGAAGTAACTATGCATCACTGTTTGCTGAAAATATTGTGCATTTTTTCCATTTCCAAGAGAAACTGTGTTAACATCTGTTCAAATAAAAAATCACCAAAATCTGTTATTTATCAAGGGGTGCCTAAACTTTTGCATAAGACTGTATGCAACCCACATACCCACACAGAAGTGTAACTTACCATGTATGAAACGGAAGATTATCATTATCTTGTCGAGGATTCTCTCCAGCTCCTCCTCTGTAGCCTCCTTGTTTCCTGCCCTTAACTTAGAATCCACATATTTAGCTAGATTTAAAAAAAAAAAAACAAAAAAAACAAAAAAAAAACAAGAAAGGTGTTATCATATACTTCAACTAATAAAAACAACAATAAAATGTGCTGAGCAAAATAATTTAAGAGCACAAAGACTGAGTCACAGCTGTCTTGTTATTCCTTTGCCTGACCTACCAATAAGTTTGTTGGGTCTCTTGTTGATAAATGTTTCAAAGGCCTCCTTCATGGCATTGATGAATCCCTCATTTCGTGCAAAGCAGCTCTGTGCCACATTGTCCATCTTATCCTTGAAGTCAAGCAGGTCTTGTACCATGTCCTTGTCTTTCTCTGGAGTACATACAATCTCTCCACCGAAGGACTAAGACAAGAGAAAGAACAATATGTACATGAATATCTCAGACATAAAAGGATCTGGTCATGTCTTGCTGATTGTAACACTACGTGGTGTATGTACATTGGATGAGCTACAGTACAGTATGTGTATACCTTGATGTAATCCCTCCAGAACTGCAGTAGTGTGGGAAGTCCTCCTTTCACCTTGCTGAAGAGTTGATAGAGCAGGGCCAGCTCAGTCACACGGTTCTCATCCAGCAGGGTGTTCAAACCTGGCACAAAAATATTATACATTATGTACATATGTATTGTAAATGTTTAAAATAAAAGTGCATTTTTCAATGTCATCTTTATGACAAAATCAAATTCAAAAACTGGAAAGTAGATGGGTAGTCACACCAAGTCTCAAAACAATGTAAAGCAAACCAACTGAAGAACACCACAAGCTTTTCAAATGTAGTGCATACTGCCACACACAAACACACACTACAGTTGGGCAAATAAGTATTTGATACACTGCTGATTTTTCAGGTTTTCCCACTTACAGAGAATGGACAGATCTGTCATTTTCATCGTAGGTACACCTCAACTGTGAGAGACAGAATCTACTAAAAAAAGATCCAGAAAATCACATTGTTAGATTATTAAATAATTTATTTCCATTTTATTGCATTAAAAATAAGTATTTGATTACCTACCAACCAGTAAGAATTCTGGCTCTCACAGACCTGTTAGTTCGTCTAACCCTCCTATCCTCCACTCATTGCCTGTATTAATTGCACCAGTTTGAACTCGTTACCTGTATAAAAGACACCTGTCCACACACTCAATCTATCAGATTCCAACTTCTCCACTATGGGCAAGACCAAAGAGCTGTCTAAGGACACTAGGGACAAAATTGTAGACCTGCACAAGGCTGGGATGGGCTACAGGACAATAGGCAAACAGCTTGGTGAGAAGGCAACAACTGTTGG